AATAGCGTTAGAGCTGCTTGCTATTAATAATCTGACGTGGCTGATTCACAGGGTGACGCAAATGTCGCTAATCACCCGTTGTGCCAATCGTTCGCCTATTAGTTACGGCTCACAAAGACTAACGCGAACATTATGCGCCGTAAGTATTATTTTTCGCTATAGAGAATGCGAATAATTGGAGGATTATCTCTCGAGCGACTTTCCCCCTCGTAGCTAAATGACTGACCTCCGACGATCTCTTTCTTGTCTCTTCCTATTATCTTTCGTTATCTTTCCAGATTTTTATTATTCTTCCCATTATCTAGAAAGAGTGATGAAATATCTAATTTTATCTTTAAACGTCGAAATGGAAAAAGAAAGAATCACGACCAATTTCTCTCCGGTATCTGTCATCTGTTTGAAGAAAGCACGCGCGCCCATATACTATATGATGTGCATACACTTGAAAAATTTCTATTTGACGATGCGACGATTTAATTAGCCTCGAACACAAGGTGTCGCGCGTGCGTGTATCCGGCATCAGAGTTTCGAAGGCGGCCGTATACGCGCGGAATTGAAATGCAGACACGCTATCTAAAACATTCGCACGCGCAATCCGGATTACACCTGCATCGTCACTATTACTTGAACAGTTACACTTTCTCCTTAATGTCTACCCGCGCCGCACAGCCACGGAGAAAGAAGGAAAAAATCAGGGAGGGAGAGAGCACGTCAACACGGGGGAATTATTGTTAAACGAGCTGCTGTTACCGGCGCTGTTTATTCAAAATATCCACTCTCTCTTAGGAGCGTTGTTGCATTTAACGGCCACGCGATCGAGCATCGGTCGGATGAAAATATTCTTAGATAATACGCGGCGTTTCGCCGACGTATTTCCATAACGCGAACGATCGCGAATATATTACGAAAGCGGCCGAGTGCAGAAACGATCGGTCCAATTATCATTTATTAATCATTCCACAACTGAACCGAAGCGAATCGAGACCGACGCCAAGTGTTGGGACCAGCCGATTTCCCACGTTCGGATTCAACCACATAGAAACCCGATTCGCTTAATCAACGTGTCCGGTCGAGCTAGAATTTTCGATGGTTGTTATTAAGCGAAGATCAAGTTTGAAGAGTTAGAAGCGAATCGCAACAAGACGCGCCATTAAAGCATAACCTAATCCGATGTTTACCATCGAGAAATCAAGGTATCAACTATTCCGCAATTGATCGATGGCTGTTACTCCTATCTCAAGAGATAAAGTGGCGAAATGGCTGGATACACTCGCGGTACAGCGACGCGCGCGAGCGTGATGCATAATGCATCGACCGCTTTCTTTAATTCGTTGCAACTCGTAAAACAAGATAACCGACGTTCATGTTACACGGAATTATGAATCACTTTGTTTGTTTCGCATGCTCGCCAGTTTCAGAAATATATCTGTTCGATAAACCTCAACTTTCATCTTTAATGAAATCAACGAATAACGTATCCTACGATTGTTCCCTTTCTACCTAAATAACTCTAATCAAATTGGTTAAAATTTCTGAAGCGAGGAAAATATCAGCAGACTGTGCTGAAAGTGCAAACATAAATTACTACATCAGCGGAAACGAAGACTTTTTTATAGACCTACAAGGTCTTTCGAAATCTCGACCTCAACTCTTACATGAAACCGCACTTTCAACGGTAAGCTACTGCAATCATTGTAATCATATTATTCATTTAGCTCTATTAATATAACTATTATAAGACAAGTGCGGTGCTCGCTCTTCTTTTCTCTTCTCCTCTATTTTATTCCTCTTTCCTATTTCGTTTTCTACCATAGAAAACTGTAGTACTTTCGACTTTACTCTTCATTTATAAAATAAAACCGGTGCTTGAATCTCCTTTCCTCATCTTTATTTTCTATTCTTTTTCTATACATAAAAAAGTGGAAAAGAGTGGGAGTCCATAAGAAAGAAATTACAAAGAAAATTAATTCGTCTTCCTCGGTTAACAGGTTACTAGACAAATAAATAAATAACATGACATGAGATGATTCGCGATACTATCGTCTAGACTCGAATCGCCAATTTTCTCAGCGATTCGCGTTGTTTGGTAGCCGATCGAAAGACTCGGCATTCGACCGTGGCGACGCAAGAGTCGCGCGGTAAACCGGTCGTGCACCAGGATTTCGAAACGTCGAAGAAAGCTCGATTTAATCGAGATGTCGAGGTCCCTCCGCGGCCTTGCGCGTTACAGGCTGCGATAAACGAGGTGACTGGCCGAGCCGGCTGTTAGACTTTCTTTTTAAAATCCCACTGCCGCATTTTGAACCAGCGACGGACGGCAAATGGACCTTCCGACGAGAACCGATTTCCTGAGAACGAACCAAGAACGACGCGGAAATTTTCAGTGTGCAGCTTCAAACGTGGATCGCCATTGTTTCGTCTAAGCGATTGTCCCCTTTGAGCACACGATGCTGACAGAGGGGAGAGTAGAGAAAGGAGCAGGATTAATTATAACGGGCTTCTTTCCACGCGTAAAACCGCCTCGACGATCGATGCAAAATAAACGTCGCGGATTACGCCGCTGATGAAAGTCGAGAGAAACGAGCTCGATACAATATACTAGGAGACGATCTCGCGATACGTTGCTTAATTAATTGCCTTTCATCCCATTAGCGTAGAAATATATTAATATACCGTGGAATTATAGCAGTTCAGTAATCTCTGTAAAAACTTTAACGATCGACGGTATCGATGTTCTTTAATAACGAACACGGCTCAATCGGTGGTAGAATTGCATCGATCCTTTTAATTACGCCCCCTGTGAGCGATTGAAAATGCCGGATTATTTTTTAGGTATTTTTAGGTTTCAACCCTGAATTTTAACCCTGAATTTTCAACCCTTCGTGGTTACTCCGTACCGTGTACTCGAGAATATATTTAGATCGCAACCCCCCGACGTTACCTATTTCCGGAAGGCGCAACGGGCTTGCAGAAGATTACCCTGAATAATGCAAAGAAGCATAAATAGCGTAGATGCGCGGCTGAAAATAACTGGAAGTTCGCCCACTCGAATGATTTAGAAATTCCGACAACAATCGGGAGACCGAACGAAATTCTACGAGTCGTACAAACATTGCGTAATTCACGAAAAGAATGCCTCTATGCGTTCGAACCGAACGTTTCGAATTGCGAATTTAACAACAGAGTCGCATTGAATTTATCCACCCTATAAGACGAACTTAAATAAACGATTTACCCTGAACTTTATCCACTTTCGATGATAGACGAGCGCACGTGTCGCTAACCAAGGCAACTACGTTCCCAAAGACGAAGAGGATCTCGTTTAGAAATAGTTATTGCGCACAGTAAGAGTAAGAAGAGGTGCTCCGCAGCCATAAACTTAATACGCAGTCGCACAATAGTAATAAATACGGTATTTAGGGAACGGTTTGATACGCGTGACCGATGCATCGACGCAATTTACGAGAAAACGGTCGATCCTACGCGCGGCGTTCTTTTCTTCTTTGTTATTTAACGAGATTCCGGTCGAATCGTTGAGGACTCGATACTTTCGCAACTGGCATCGACCCAATCGATCGGCAGCGGCGAAGAGTTTTTATTTTTATCGGCGCCACCGATTCGCGCGGTGAGAAAAACCGCGCGTTGCAGTGTACAGAGGAAACTGCAGCGGCGAGGAGCACGCGCGCCAGATATCGAGGCAGTGCACGTCCCGACGTGTCCTTGAAATTCCAAATTCGCCCGCCATAAGCGCGCGCTCGCACGATCATTATGCATATAAGCGATCTATGCAAATCGGACTGTCGAATCGCGGCAGAAAAGCGACGCGATCAACATATACCGCGTGATTTATCGCCTGTGCATGCCTGTTTCGTGGCGATATAACGCATACAATAATATTAAAAATATGTGTATATATATACATATACCCCACAAGATGACGAGTTATAGAAAAAGAATATTTCGAACGATGTAAAGATAGATGAAACGAGAGCGAGATCAATATTTACCGTCTTCGTCTCGCTTAATTTCCAGACAAACGAGCCTGAAACCGTGATTACGTTGCAACGCAAATTTCCGTATCGATCCTGCGTCAAGAGGCACGAGGATTCGTTCAACCGGCGAGGCCGGGTGAGAACAAACTTGCATAAAAAGTGAAGGTGACCGGCGGTGATTCATGGGGGCTGATGCCCTCGTTGTCTGGCATTCGGTTTATAGAGGACGGAGGTGGAGCAAGAGGTGGAGGGTCCTTGCAACAGACTCGTCCAAGTGGCGCTCGCTCGACTCGGCCCGGCCCGGCCCGGTCTAACTCTTTGTTTTTCGTGGGTCGAAACCACGCTCTAATCCGCTCTATCTATCGTATCTCGTAATCCTATCGAAACAAACTTTTTCTTGTCTAACATCGCGAGGTTCCAAGACTGCTCCAAACTTGTTCCAAGCGAAATAGAAAGAAACGGTCGTGTTTTTACGGCAAGAATGGAACAACGAATGAAGCTATAACATCGAACCCTACGTTACGTGGATATGTACTCTGAACTTTCAAATATTTCGTAAGAAGTAATTGGCAAGTAAAAAGAGAATCGAAAGAAGCGAAGACGTATTACGACGTTCAGGATGGAGCATCGCTCGCGAAGCGTTCAGTGTCGCCGCGCGACGCAATCTAATCGCGCGTACGTCGTACGGCAAACGCTGCGTGGTCTCGGTGCCGACGCGGCCAAAAGATCTGACGCGGTGCACCTAACCAGCGCAGCGAGTGGGGGTGAGCACGACACGGCGCGGAGGGGAATGGTCGCGGCACTCTGACGCAGAACCGCCTGGCACTGTGTGCGGACCGGCCGGTAGTGGGGAGTGCACATAAACCGAGCATAAACCAGGCATAAACTTCCCCCGGCGGGTGGACCTGTGCTCCTCCCCACCAAAAACCTCGTCACTACCACGATCGAAGCGCAACGCCGGTAGACACGATCACGTACACACCGACACACGTGACCGCGTCAGCCTTCTCGCATCAAACTCGAAGCCAGACGACATTGGGGCCAAGACGGCAGTCGCGAGTCGCGAGTCTCACGCAGCGTGTAGTCAGTTTGCAGGCCGACACTGTAGCGATCGGACGTGTGTTTCTGCGCGCAAGACGTATTGTGCTATCTCGTCCCAAGTAATTGGACGATTAGCAAGGGGCTGACACTAACACGTAGCTCCTTGTCACCTGCTCGCCAACAGTTCAAGTTCATCGTGTTCACCGCTAAGCAAGATCGGTCCGTTGGTTTCGCGTTCTTTGTCCGAGATTTACGTACATTCACGCTTTCACGCGAAAACACGATCAGTGCTCTCGTTAGTTTCTCGACGTGTGCCTTTGTTTCTCCTTTCCATCGGCGAAAGAGAAGGAAATTAAACGATATACTGGATTTTGCCACATCGTAGACACGCTACGAACACATTTTGGTTCTCTCCGTATTTTTTAGTACTCTGCATCTCCGTTTTGTGTGATATAAATATACGACACGATTACCGTCCACTCTCGAGGGATTCGCTTGGATTTACCCGTGGAAGAGGGAAAACGGTTCGATCGCAAGCCGCGATAGCAGACGTTATTATGACGGTGATTCTCGTTACGTTGGTTCGACGAACGGGATACTTTACGCTCAGCCAGTGACTATCTCGGTGTTTCGCGGATAAACTTTACACGTTCGACCGTTTATCAATCGACGAGTGCAGCGCACCGTCTGTTTTCATTGATCTAGAGGAGGCAAAGTGGATCGCTGTACTGTCGTTCGATCGTGCTCGTCAGAATCTTTCAAAATTGGTGAGTACTCCAAACGACATATGTTACAAACTTTACACCGATTTTTCCTGTCCGATCGCGCGTCCTTATCCCCGTTTCGTTCGACAACGACGCTTCCAAAGAACACAGGTGCGATCAGATCAAATCGACATCACGAATCCGTTGTTTTTCCCGAAACGGAAACGAATACTTATGATTACGCTCGAGGCGGCCTTGTAATAATTTGTAGAATAGAACGTTATCTGCTGGCAACTTGTCACGCGCCAGGACTTTGTACTAAACCCGTTGGAAATAACTATCGCGAATACGTGCTTCGATCGAGTGCAACCGATTCCCAATTTCGAGAAACAGAATTGCCCTGCGAATAATTATCAATGATAAATCCTCGTTATTTCTGCTATATCGAAAGTGAACTTTCGACGCGTACGTGACAAGCGGGTGTTTTTCGAATCGATGGAAGCGGCAAAACCTACTCGCTCGTCGAATCGATCGAGAATCACGATTATCGATCCGAGCCTGTGATATTTGCCAAACGACCCTGAATGCTCGGAGACTCTGACCTTCAAAAGTAATTCGGTTGACGCAACGTCTGACTGCAATTCGCGGGCGCAATAAACTCGTGCACTCATTGTTTTCGTTCCAATCAGCTTCGCGTATCTTATCGCGTTATCAACGCCTGAATCATTACCTCGCTCCTTGAACATTGATCGTTGTATTCAACGCGAATAAGAAAATAGAAGAAAAGCGTTGCATGGTTCTTTTGAAACGAAGGACAAGGGAGCATGGAATTATTTTACGATCGAGCATCGTGACGGACTAGGACGTTTCGATGGACGAGGCAACGAGCGGCGAGTGAAGCGAGGAAAGGCTGCGCTTACGAAAGTCTCGTGCAACGCGTGAGCAACGCGGCAGCGGTCGTTGCGTCATTCGTGACGAAGCGAGGAGGACTTTGATCCTTATCTCTCCTCAACACGGAGAATATAACGTACAACCGGACGGTATTGTCGCTGGTTTCCCAAACGAATTTTCGACGGCACGTATTCGCCGTGAAGATATTCTAACTCTGTAGCGTGGAATTGAAAAAACGGATATTGCTACTAGCCGAACCGATTAAAAAAAGAGAAATAATTCAGGAAAATGTGGGAGAGTTGAAACGAACGAACAAAGTTGGAATAGTTTTGTAGATTTCTAGCAATTTCCAAAGGGGTCGTTGTCGCTTCGGAGAGCATTCGACCGATCAGGATCGTCGTTCGAAACGGGAACTGTTCAACCAGCCCCCATTCTCGATCGTGTTTTGCGCTCTGTATATCCCCCCATCCTCGATCGATCCCACTACTCTTCTCTCGCTACTACCGCCGCGCCGCCACCTTCTCACTATCGCAGGCGAAGTGGGCCACGGCCTAATTTGCAAAACTCTCAACCTCGTCGTAGCGTAAAGCGTGTGTGCAACAAGGCAACGAGCTTCGTGGACTTGAAGCGAAGGGCACGCACGTGTATGTACCAAGATACCAAGATACGCTGGCTGATTTCTGCTTGGTCAAACGCGAGCAATTTGAAAACGGTCACGAACATCGCGGGCAAGGGATGGCAGTGGTAACTAAAAGTGACTAGCGATAAAGCAACGAAAGTCCGAAAGTCGTCGAAATTTTCCTGTTTGAAGGTCGTCCAAGTTATTCCGTAGATCATACAGCTAAAAGGATTGGAAATTTGACGCTGCACCGTTATCGGCGAATATCAACAATGCAGATTGTCAATGTTATCGCGAAGGTATTGATAAGTAGAGATTATCCCAGAATAGAAATTACAACGTATATTTGATTTCTAATGCGCGAACATATGTTTAAACTGCAACTTTTGTTGCAACCGATCGATTGCACGATTATCCATTAGAAATTAAAAATACTCGAAGGTGTACGTTACACCTTATTACACACACTTGCGTTATAAATAATCCTATCATCATCGGCAAACTTATTTATTAATAATTTATCTATCCGCTATTGTTTCGATCCTTCGAATTCATTTATCGCGAATCACGTTGCAAGGTGACGCAATCGAGCGGTATCCAGGGCTAATTATCATTCGTAAGTATACGTGGATTCGCGATTCGTCGTCCAAGGTTGTGCTTTGTGCTGCATCAAATATCCAAAGCATATCGCAATGGTGAAATATCGAATGATATCGACAAAGTCAGTCAGCAGGGACTTAGCGGATTCTCATTGTGTATGGTTCATTATCTGAAACGGTCGATCTAGATTGTTTGGTGTCACATCAATCCGGATTAGCGGTATCTACCGTTCACGGAAATGCATGGCGCGGAGGTATTATATTCGCGTGCATAGAGGTGCGCGGACGCAGTACCACAGTATGCATAGCCGGCTACGAATCGTCAAGAAGTATGTATGTATCTCCTTCTCGATACGGTTTCTTTGGTGTAGATACGTGTAGAGTTTGATATATTACATCTGTACTCTTGTGCTCGTGCGTGCGTGTGCTAAGTAGCGGCCGTCTCGGATATTGCGGATTGTGCATTGCGTCATCGGACGTTCATCGATCACATCGAGTTCGAAAGAAATTTTCATAACGTGCACTGTGATAACTGTTTCTGAGTTTTACATCGGATTAAACGAGCAGATAATGATCATTTCGTTTCTGTACGCTTTCCTTGGTTCGCTCGTAAAATCTATAATACGGGACCGAAATAGAAAGAAGTTGTAAATTAAGTCATCGAGGACCGGCGTCGATCGACACGCAAAATTGAATTTCTTGTAACTCAAAGTAATAAGCGCCGACGGACGTTTTTACATATCAATTTTCGTTTTTATTTCGATGTTTAGAATCGATCTTCCGAACATCTTCAACTCGCTATATACTTTTTTTAGGCTGCCTACTTCGGCCACTGATTCTACGACCTCGCTATATCACGTTCGTAGATACTATACGTTTCGCGTAATTATGAATCGTCGGGAACGCGTTCGCCGATTTCTAAAAAGGAACAGCAAGATCGTCGAGATGCTTGTGATCGAGCCTAATTGACCGATTGGCGTGATCGAGCTCGCGATTTATCAATCATATTAGGAAATATCAGGCTCCGTTGTTCCCGATGACCTTTTCGCGTTTCTGTTATGCAACGAAGGTGAATGGTCTAGCATAACACGGCGTGCACGTGTAGGAGTCACGTGGCGGGAGAGCACAAACGTAGAGAGAACAGCAACGATAGAGAGAGAAGCCGTGCACTAGGCTAGAACCGGCGCGCGCGAATTGCGCGAGCATTTATACTATGCACCGCGGCCAGTTGCATCACACACCGCGTGTTATTTCTTAAGCCGGTCTCGCATTGTTTATCAGTCGAAACGCCCACTCGGCCGCTCTCCTATCGCGTGCTTTCCCGTCCAGTTTGATCGGGATGCATCCATAAAATACATCGTCGATGATCCAAGCAACTTAGTACACGCAACGTATACTAACGAACGTCGTCTATTCGTCATTGGTATCCGTTCCACGTGTTCGTTACGTAACCGCACGCGCCGTTCGGTAGGGAAAACGTATTCGCGGACGGGCAACACGTTACCTCAGGTCACGTGTCGCCGGACGAGAAACGCGATCAACCGACGATGCTCACGTGGAACGTGCAAAAATTCAGATAAGCCAAATAATTACGATACAATGACATGGCGTGATTACTCTTTGTACTTTGTCTCTCTGTCGTCGCGCTTGTTTTTATCGACATCACTGATTTCCCTATTGTTTGTACGCGTCCTGATAACGAAGGAAATTATCGTCGTGCGTGCTTGAAAAGGGCCACGGAATTATCACTGACGAAAATAGCCGCAATTGTGAGACGGAAGATTAAGCGTATCGTCAAAAGTAAAGTTGAATCAACAGTGAAATAATACGCGTTAGATCGATTGTACACATAGAACGTCTAGGAAATAATAGGACAATTGGATGATTTCATCCAGTGAATATAATTTCACGAATAAGGAAGCCCGATTTCCGCTGCATGATTATTTAATAAATTCGAAGCAAACTCTATTCAGAAATAAATGAGTTGACTTATCGAATCGATCAACGTCTGCGCGCTAACTTTCAGTTCGTTGCTCGTTTATCTAATTATCGTATAATTTCTCAGACTTCTGTAAAATCACGTTGCGTATTCCTAACCTACTATTCGTCTTTAGATTACAGGATTACGCATACGTAGCATCTGCAATTTTTTCCCGAAATGTGTTACGCGCGAGACGCGCGGTTTTGTGTAACCGTTTCGTTTAACTGTACCTAACGAAGTGCTCGAAAATCGAACAGGATACGCGGAGTAACGTATCGGGGCGTGAACAATGATGAAAACACGAAGGAGCAAAAGACAGAAGAAAGAGCAAGGAGAGGGGAAAAAGAGTGCCAACGCGTGTCGCGAGTTGCCTTTTTTCGTTTTTCAGTTGGCGGTCGCGTTATCGCGGACCAATTGCATAATAAGCGGGAAACGAAATCGGAGACCGGTTCGAAATGCCTGTGTCGGTCCGATAACGGTATCAACGGTCGGCTGTTACGTGAGCGCTGACCGCAATCGTAACACGCACAGCCGAGCCGTATCGAGTGGCTAGCATTGTGCACGTGCCTTTATGTACTGTACTTAAAGTTCGACGTACTCCGAGAACTATTTCAGGCCCGCGCGCGTTTCTATCCCCGCATTTTTGGAACGCTCGCTCTTCTCCTCCGTATCGTTGTTCCCCTCTGTGTTTCTTATTTAAATACCGCGGACCTATACGACCTTTTTAACAGCTAAAAATGTCTCGCGAAAAGAAATTTCTTGCAACCTTCGACGATATCGCTCGACCATCGTTTTCAAGCGAATAACGACAACCGTATAGCATATGCTAATCGATGACATAAGTATCCCGAGAGCAACTTCTAGTTGCTCTACTAGCGCCTTTATACTATCGTCCGGAGACTTCCGGTGTTATCTATTCCAGCAGATTCTTGGTCGATAAGCGAGACCGATTGAATGAAGGGATTTGAAACAG